AGATGGAAGGGGGAAGGGATGGGAGATGGAGGTGATGGGAGGAGGAGGGTGGAAGGTGGAGGAGATGGAAGGGGGAAGGGATGGGAGATGGAGGTGATGGGAGGAGGAGGGTGGAAGGTGGAGGAGATGGAAGGGGGAAGGGATGGGAGATGGAGGTGATGGGAGGAGGAGGGTGGAAGGTGGAGGAGATGGAAGGGGGAAGGGATGGGAGATGGAGGTGATGGGAGGAGGAGGGTGGAAGGTGGAGGAGATGGAAGGGGGAAGGGATGGGAGATGGAGGTGATGGGAGGAGGAGGGTGGAAGGTGGAGGAGATGGAAGGGGGAAGGGATGGGAGATGGAGGTGATGGGAGGAGGAGGGTGGAAGGTGGAGGAGATGGAAGGGGGAAGGGATGGGAGATGGAGGTGATGGGAGGAGGAGGGTGGAAGGTGGAGGAGATGGAAGGGGGAAGGGATGGGAGATGGAGGTGATGGGAGGAGGAGGGTGGAAGGTGGAGGAGATGGAAGGGGGAAGGGATGGGAGATGGAGGTGATGGGAGGAGGAGGGTGGAAGGTGGAGGAGATGGAAGGGGGAAGGGATGGGAGATGGAGGTGATGGGAGGAGGAGGGTGGAAGGTGGAGGAGATGGAAGGGGGAAGGGATGGGAGATGGAGGTGATGGGAGGAGGAGGGTGGAAGGTGGAGGAGATGGAAGGGGGAAGGGATGGGAGATGGAGGTGATGGGAGGAGGAGGGTGGAAGGTGGAGGAGATGGAAGGGGGAAGGGATGGGAGATGGAGGTGATGGGAGGAGGAGGGTGGAAGGTGGAGGAGATGGAAGGGGGAAGGGATGGGAGATGGAGGTGATGGGAGGAGGAGGGTGGAAGGTGGAGGAGATGGAAGGGGGAAGGGATGGGAGATGGAGGTGATGGGAGGAGGAGGGTGGAAGGTGGAGGAGATGGAAGGTAGAGGTGATGGAAGGTGGAGGATGGAAGGTGGAGGTGATGGAAGGTGGAGGATGGAAGGTGGTGACAGAAGGCAGACAATGGACATGGAAAGTGTAGATGACAGAAGTTGGAGGTAAGAGAAGGTTCAGGTAGGGGAAGGTGGAAGATGGAAGGTGAAAATTTTCTATGAGGAATTGGGAACCATCCCCAGTGTGAGCTTGCAGTGGCATCAGGATTATCACCATCCCCAAACAACAGGCTTAGAATCTCCCAGATGATTGTCTTTTTACAAAAGAGTAATGATAATGTGTGTTTGTGTGTGTGTGTGTGTGTGTGTGTGTGTGTGTGTGTTATGTATGTGTATGTGAAAGAGAGGAGAGAGGGAGGGAAAGAGAGAGAGAGAGAGAGAGAGAGAGAGAGAGAGAGATATTAGAAATGACCACTTAGTTTCAAGTAGCTAGCAGGATGAAATGGGTAGGCCAGATATCTACAGACTATATGGTTCCTTGCTAATCCGACCCAAGCCCTGTGAGACATACAACTAGCCAGGCCATGGGGCAGCCTGCAGGCCTGGGATCTCCTGCAGGGGCTCTGCAGAAGGGGCTTTCCCAGCTGGCCTCTGGGGAGGAGGGAACCCCTAATGTCCACACAAGGATGTAGTTTGGTTAGATGGGTGACTCTCAGCAAGTACCAACCCAGGCATAGAGGCAAGAAAATAAACCCAAAGTGAGACAGTACAGACAGAAGCAGTTTCACACCTAGGATTCAGATAAACCAGGATTTTGAATCCTACTTGTGCTACCTATGGCTCTAGCTCTGTCCCGGGCAAATTAATTTCCCCAAACGTCACTACCTTTAACTAGGAAGCTTAATGATGGCATCTGTCCTCCATGTCACACCATTTATCAGGAAGGTACAAAGAGATGATGAACTCTGCCCACCTGATAGAGCTCATGCCACAAGGTAGATGTAAGGGAACCTGAAAAATTAAACGGTCTACTGATAGGACTTTAGCCACTGGAATGGTAATAACTACCAGTAGAGATGTGAGCCCAGCTGAGGGCTTCCTTGTCCCTATCTCCTCTGAGCAAACCTCTTAAACCCCAATGCTCTGCACATGGTGTCAAATTATACACTACAAAAATGCTTCTCTGTTGAGCAATAACCTGGAAGACTAAATCTCAATTATACTGTCTCTTTAAAGAAGTGCTACAGCTGTGAAAAACTGTGATGCTTCCTCCCCAATAAAGAGCGTTTTCTTGGAAATGAAGTGAGCTGTTCACAATCCTCCCTCCCAACTGCTCTGTGAACTGGAAGACACTCCACACTGCCCTGGCACCAAATATCTGCAGAGTACTGCTTAGTAACTAGCCAAGCACCTCCCAGCTCTCTCCAGACTCTGACTTTGCCCAAACACTGTTAACATATTTGAATAGAATTCCCTGTTGCTTTTCTCCGCAGTGGTCCACAAAGCAGCCAGCAACACTTAACCCACCAGGACAGAGCATTTTCATGAGGAGTATTCCTTGAAGGGTAAGAGCTATTAAAACGAAGAGAGTCTGAATAAAGGGGACCCCATCACCCCAAATACAGAGCACCATTTGCATGGAACATCGCTACTACAAAAGGATTAGGTGTTTGTCTAGAATAGAGTTTTGTATATGGGGTCTCAGGGAGTGCTAGTTTGTGAAATACAGCTATATATCCTGGGGAGGGTAAATTCTGTGGTCAGATACCTTTCAGAATGTAATATTATTCAACTGTTGGTAAAACAAGATGGAGGCTGGAGAGATGACTCAGTGGTTAAGAGCACTTACTGCTCTTCCAGAGGACCAGAGTTCAGCTCCCAGCACCCATGTCAGGTGGCTCACAACTGCCTGTAACTCCAGCTCCAGGGGGATCTGATGCCTCTAGCTTGGGTCTACAGGGAAAGGCATCAGATTAAAATCAAGTTACTGTAGGAAGAGACATCAAATCCTGAAGGTTGAGGGGTCAAAGTACACAGCCACAGGGACTGAATGCTTGTACAAACTCTGCCAACAAATATCCCTAAGCCACATTCTTGTCTTAATATTTGAGAGCAGAGACCCTATCCCATTTGTCTTTGTGTCTCTAGCACTGAGCACAGTCCCAGAAAATGAGAGGCTTTCAATGTACGCTTCACATAAGTGAAGGACTGCATGGCTTCTTGGAGAGAGAGGCTAAGCTGGCAGTAAGGAGTGCGGGGTTCTTAAACCCAGCCATGCACTATGGGTCCTTGCTGAAATAAGTCACTCAGCTTTTCTGGCACACAGTTACGGGATAAAACTACAGGTTCCTTAGCTATGGGTCTAGATTGTCATGAGGCTTAGAAGAGGGCAAAAGTGGAAGTGCTTTGAAGGGTTGCTGGAGTGGAAATGTGCTATCAGAAAAAAAAGTGATGATACTGTCTCCAAATCGTCAACCTCCCCCAGGGGGACCACCTTTGCGGCGGTCAGAGGATAACTTATGGAAGTCAGTTCTCTCCTTCCACCATATGGGTTCTGAGGACTGAAATTAGATCATCAGGCTTGGCAGTAAACACCCAAGGTCTTTCTTTAAATCATGTGCTGCACAACTCAGTCCAACTAAGTCTAGTACTAAACTCAACACCTCCCAAAGCTCTAAGTTTTTCCACAGCCCATACAGAAAGGGAGTTGCCTAACCTAGACTGGAGAAACCTGAGTTCCTGCCGCAGCTCAGTCCTGCTTTGCTGCCACATCTTGGAGGCAAAGCTCTGAACCCTATTTCTTAACTGCAGTGGACTACACAGACCAAGCATTAATAGTCCCTGCCCTCCCCTCCTTCCTCCTTTTTTCCTTTCTCTATTTCCTTCTCTTTTTTTCCCTTTCTCCTCGCTCCATCCCCCTCCTTCCCTCCTTCCTCACTTGTGTTCACAGCACCCCATCTCTGTCCCCAATTGGGCCCACTGCAATGAGAATAAGATAAGCCCTAAGACTTGACCTCTAGCCCTGAGGCACTCTTAACTGAAGAATTTGTAAGAGCACCTGACTCAGGACAGCCAAATGACACAAGCACAGTGCAGACTCTAAGGGAGGAAGAGGCAGCCAGGTCATTCAGCACCCTGGGATCAAAGGTCAGTCAGCCTGCCTGGAAAACTCAGCTTCCAAAAGCCACCAGGGCTTGGCCATCACATTAATGTCATGCAAAGGGTCCACTCCAGCTGCACTGGTCTGTGTGACCCCCTAATTAGACTTTCATGTGTGACAAGCAGCCTGATTGGTCCAACTGCCAGCTGTGGCTTCTATATGCCTGGTGACTGAGTTAATGAACCCTTATGGGGCTAGTGGGGCTCATTATTTGCAAGGCAAGGGAATAGGGGACCCCTGTGTCCTCCAGGCCTGTCTCTCTCCAGGTCCCCAGTGCTGAAGAGCTGATTTCAAATCAAGAGAAGGGAGGGAGCAGGAGATGAGACTGCAGCTGTGCACAACAGGCTCAGAGAGTGCACCATGTGGGTGGTTCCAGCAACAACTCTGCCAGTGTCACACAAGTTGTAGTTGACTTCAGTGCTTGCCAAGTCAGAGCCTGCACTCAGAGCTGGGGTGAGTAGTTAGGATATAGAAGGCTTGTGTCCTGGAAATGAGAAGGTGGGGGAGTTCAGACACTGAAGTCCTCCAGGACAGCAAGGAAGAGGGATGCTTTGAGGACCCAGTCCACGAGAGGACATTCTAAGGTCATCCTAGGCTAAAACCCAACCAGATAAGGTCAGGATGTACTGAAAGGAGATGGGGTCTCAGCTGGACCTCAGTGGAGGCAGCTTGGTGGCAGGCTGAGTAACCATAACAGCACACTGCGACTGACTCTGCCACAAGCACCTTTCTCCATGCTTACTGATTCTTTACAGCAACCCTCTGCTTGGGAACCATTTCCACTTTCACTTTGTGCAGAACAACTAGCACCTGGAGGCAGGAGGCACCTGTAGATCTGGCACCTTGCAAGACTTGCAGGATAGCACCTGCCTCATCCAGCCCTGGCCTCCTTCGCCCATGGCCACTCACAGCCCTCCCACCCAGCATAATCTCCCATCCTGGGACCCTCACTTGAACTGGTGCTCCCGGGAGCTGCGGATCTTGGAGGAGAAGCGCTCGGCCAGCTTCTCCAGGCTACGGGAGTACTCCAGTTCAATCTCGGCTTTCCTGCGGAAGAACTCCTGCAGGTCCTGCAGCAGCTGCAGCCGCGACTCTGATTGTTGCTCCAGGCATTTGAACTGCTCCACCAGCTGTGTGCGGATCTCTGCGGGAGGCAAGGAACTAAGTGTCAGACTGTGGCTGGAGAAAGTGGTAGGACCCAGCCAGCTGATCCAGCAATGCAATCTAAACAGCCCTTTCCCATATTCCGCAACACTCCCACCCCCATACTGCAGAGCCTGGCCAGGCCAGAGCCCCAGCCTTCCTTTGTTGAGTTTTGGCACAAAGATCTGGCACAGGTCCCTTTCTGCCATTGTCTAACCCACTGCTTCCCAAACTTGAGTCACTCCGTGTTGCCATACCACCATTGTTTCTGGTTAAGCACAGGTCAGTAGCTACACTGTTTCTTCCTCCACACCATCAAGTAGGTGCACTAATTTTTTTCACTGGAACAAACTTCTTAAAATGAAAGGCTATATATTCAGAAATGTGGGAAACTAGGAGCCCTTGCGGCCTGGGACATAGAAAACGAGTTCAATTAAAATAACAGCTTTAAAATCCTATCTACACACTACAGTAAGGCCTGCCAAAGGGCCAGATGCCTCCGCCCAAGAGGTTTGCTCTTTGTCAGCAAAAGGGAGAGGTGTTAAGAAAGATTTTCTTCTGGAGTGGGCGGGACCCAGAGGACAGCAAAGGGCATGCAGCTCCCTCTTGGGCTCCAGTGTTGTTCAAGGTCATGTCTGCTTTCAATTACCCTGAGATCCATGTGTAAACATCTCAAGTACCACTAAAAGAATGTAGCGCACACTCAAGGAAGTATTGATTGACCAAGCCAGGTCTGGGCTGCCATGAGGAAAGTTCAAAGCTGGGAGTTGGAGCTAAAAATCACAGCCAAGTCCTTACAATCGCTAACAACTGAGCATGTGCTAATGTCCTGACAGTCACAGCCAATCATTTCGTCAAGCCCTAATGTTGTCACTGCCACAGTTCCCAGGCGACAACCCCTTCCCAGGTCCTCAACAGATCCATTTCTGCAAGATACCCTACTAACACTGCACTGGCAGCCTGCTCAAAAATACCAAGGGACTCCCCTCTGGCCTCAAGATTACATCCAGCTCCTCAGCAAGAGACCAGCTGCTCAGGATTCCACTAGGATGAATTCTGAAAACCACTCAAGCCTGTCCTTGAATGGTTCAGTCCCCTCTGCCCAAATGAACATTAGCATCATCATCAAAGAGGGAGTCTGGGGATAGGGGCGCATGGGGGCATCCATCTGAGATCCTCTTCTCCATCCCCACTCTCTCCTGAAACTGCTCTGCCTAAGAACGCACCCCCTTCCCACCTCACTCTTCACAGTGGTCCTTCCCTCTTCTCAAAAGGAAAACCAAGGCTTCATTTGCCCAGAATCAACTGTGATGTAATACCTTACAATTTCAAAAACATCTGGGTAGCCCCCAAAGAACTATTTAAAATGTTGGTGTTAGGAAATCTTCCTTGAATCAAAGAACCACAAACCCTCAATACTCAGAGTAGTTGTAGACCAGTGATATCATCAGGTGGCTAAAAAACACAGAAGTGCCCAAATTCATCAGATGCTTATATTACAGCCAACGAGACAGTTAATCAGGTAAAGGCACTTGCCACACAAACTTGATGACCTGAGTTTGATTCCCCAGAACCCACATAAAGGTGGGAGGAGAGAACCAACTCCACAAAGTTGTCCTCTAACTCCTACATGCACACCATGGCAGGTGCATACACAACACATAATGTACACACACACACACACACACACACACACACACACAATAATAACAAATAAATGTCCCCATACAATGCTGCCATCTGTGTTTAATAGCTCACCATGCATGTAAAACATTAATGCTATTCTCTCATGAGTTGTGTATTAGAGATTGTGGTCATGAGAAATCAAAAAAAAAAAGAAGGATCTTAGAATTGTATGGTCAAAGGACAAGTTTAAAATTTCCATTTCAGGGCTGGAGAGATGGCTCAGTGAGTAAAGGTGTCTGCCTCACCCTGATGACCTGAGTTAGATCCTTAGGACCCACGTGATAAAAGAAGAGAAGCACAGCAGGAGCATGTACCACATGCATGTGGCACTTATGTGCCCCCATACACTAAATAAATAAATAAGTAAAATATAATTTTTAAAATTTAAATGTCTATTTCAACTTAACATATATTTTGGATAAAAAGAAATATAATCAATTTTAAAGTTTTAAACATAAAAGTATATCAAGAAAATTATGTGGACATGGTGATGCACGCTTTTGGTCCCAGCATGTCTCAAAAAGATTTAAAAAAAAAAAAGAAAAGAAAATTCTGTGAAGGAAGCTGGAGGGAATTATAGATTCAAGAAGATAAGGAACAATGTAAATTTTTACATATTCGGGTCCTTTTTGATGGATAATGGGGAATGCTGATGCTTTATGTTCCTCTGAGGCAGCTCCTCACAGACACTCAAGTCAGTGTTTTAAAATCATACCAAAAATATGTTCGAGAATATAGTTAAGCGCCTATTTAGAGTTAGAAATAACTCCAAATGTCCAGTAACAATAAAAGGGTAAGGCATCATTTGGTGGAAAGCTAGACAGTGAGAAAAGATGGGGACAGCGAGCAAGTGAGCGAGCAACAGTCTTGCAAAGTGCTGGCCTTATGCTTAGTGAAACTGCCAGAACAAACACAGTCAGGATAGGTGGCTTATGGTGCTAGAGGTGAGCGAAGTGGTCACCCCAAGGGAATCCTGACTGAGAGGAACACTGGGTTGCCTTCTGGGTGCCGGACATGGCCCATGCCGTGATGCAAGCAGTAAGGACACTGGCCAGAATGAACTGAACTGAACATGATCTGAACATTTTTCTAGAACATGTAACACATCACCAGAGGACAAAAAATGTTTTAAGACTTTTTTTTTAATGTGTATGAGCATTTTGCCTCCACATATATGTACCCTCCATGTGTATGCAGTGCCCACAGAATCCAGAAGGGGGTGTTGGATCCCCAGGAACTAGAGTTACAGATGGTTTGAGCTGCCACCTGGGTGCTGGGAACTGAACCTGAGTCCTCTGTAATAGCAGCAAGTGCTCTTAACTGCTGAGCCATCTCTCCAGCCCCAGGACAATCTTTTTTTTTTTTTTTTTTTTTTTTTTTTTTTTTTTTTTTTTTTTTTTTAGTTTTAATGTTATTTAGTTTCCATTTGATCTACTTTTAAGAGAATGGAGTAATGTTATTCTAAAATGTCAATATTTAAAACATGGCAGAAATACATCCTTTGTAGCTACTTAAGCTGAGACCGAAACATTTTAAATGTCAAGCTAAAATGTGTATTACAGAAGAGATTATCTGTGAGTTCATCTGGAGGGCAGACACAGGAGGGGAAGCTGCTGCTCTCCAGCCCTGGCAGGCTCCTCTCTTCCCAGGAAGGCCTGGGTGACCCGCTGGCCCTGTACCCCTCCCACATCTTGGTGGTACTCTGGAAATAGCGGACTGGTACTTGGGAAATAGTAGTCTTCTGGGGCTGGTTTGGGTGGAGGTTGTTTGAATTCTTGTGTGCTCTAGCTGCCTATCTCCATAAATCAAATCCAAACTCTGAGTGTGGATTCTCCCAGCACAAGACAGATCTATCTGTAGCAGCACCTAGACAACAGATTGCTGCAAACACTTTTATGAGCCTATGTCCAGCCACACAAAGCACAGTGATTATGAAAGCCTCACCTGATACCCACATGCACATACATGTACATAGTTTCATACACAAAACACACAATATTCACCATACCTCACATACTGGACACATGAGACAAAACTCACATAACACATACACATAGAAGGGAATGCTGCTGGTGTCCCCCACTTCACCTCTGTAGGCTGTAGCTCAGGGCAAGTCACCAGGCTATGCAAATGTCTGGTACTAAGCCAAGCTAGGAATCAAACGCACATCCCTCAGAAGGTGACAATAATGCTCTTTAAAAAGTTTTTTTATTAATTTTTAATTATGTGTATTTGAGTGTTTGTGTGTGGGTATGTATAACTGCAGGCAGATGCCAGAGGAGACCAGAGCTGTCAATCCCCTGGAGCTGGGGCAGTTGTGAGCCACCCAGCACAGGGGCTGGGAACTGAACTTCCGTCCTTTGCAAGAGCAGTACGATCTTAACCACTAAGCCATCTCTCCATCCCTGACAACAATGCTCTTGATAGAGAGCTCAGTGTTTTCCATATTTAACCCACTTATCTTCCACTCTTGCAACCTGCATAACAAGCTGGGGACCTAGCAAGGAGATGCTGCTTGTTAGAAAGTTTTCAGGCCAGGCCTCTCCTACCAGGCAGCATCAGGAGCCAGTGTTCTCATACTTCAGAGGAAAAGCTCATAAATCACTCTGTAGTGACAGGAGATGGTTTGCAATGGGCAGAGATGCTTCCCTGAATGAACACAGCCAGCTGAAATCTTCCAGGCAGAGATGGCCAAACAGCTGGAAGTCAAGGTTTCTAGCAAGCTGAATCCCTGGCAGCCTCTGCTGTGGCCTACCCTGCTCTGTAACCCCAAGGAAGTTGGTTCCTGGGCTCCTGACTCCTGTCTCCCCTCCAAGTGGCTGCTGGGAGCAGGCTAGGTCTTGGCTTTTCTCCTTGGAGACTCAAAGGGAGAAAATTCTAATCAAATCCAATGCAAATGCTCCCCAGGCACACCCCTTGTTTACAAGATGTCCCCCAAGAGAGACAGCCAACCAAAGCATAGCATAGAGAGACAGAAAAATAGCAGGGGTCAGGGTAGGAGAGGGTGGGCGTGGAAAGTGGGGACAGGCTTTGATCTCAGAACCTCAGAGCTGAAGACAACCCTGCTGGGCACTCAGAGTATCCTCCTAGCTCTACATGCTGGGGTGTAAGTCTCAGTGGAGGGGCAAGAGAGCCTGCAGGCCCGGTCTCCTGATGGTAGATCTGCCCATATCACTCTCCTGATAGAATGCTCAGTACTTCCTCATTGCTTGTTGCTTATGCAGTCAAGGCCAAATTCCTCTGGTATTCAAAGCCCAACTCCAGAACCTACCTACTCCCCGACCCTCACGTTCCAGCTCATTCTCCAGACCACAG